TGGGACGTCGGATCTGCGTGGGGACAGCACTGTCTCTGGGACGTCGGATCTGCGTGGGGACAGCACTGTCTCTGGGACGTCGGATCTGCGTGGGGCCAGCACTGTCTCTGGGACGTCGGATCTGCGTGGGGACAGCACTGTCATGCTCTGGGACGTCAGACCTGCTGCTGGCTTTGGTGCAGTGTCCCCTGAGGACCTCACGCCCGGCCCCTCAAGACGACTCCCACAAACGGGAATGTCCGCTGTGTGTGAGCACTCTCAGAAGGCTGAGTGGGACTCGGTATGGCCGGCGACACCCAGTCCACTGGGCAGAGCTCCCAGGAGCGGACCACAGACACCGTGCCAGCGGCACTAGGAGGATCAGGCCTATGACCGGGAGGAGGCTGGGTGGGGGCAAGCCCACCTGCTCATCTGCCAGTGTGCGGGGCCAGCGGTCAACCGGAGACGGCACTCGGGCTGCTGTGGCCATAAATACATTTATTCGTCAGACGCGCATCAGGATAGCATGTGACAGCAACTCCCCCTGAGGGTCGGCGCTCAGGGTTCCCCACGAAGCGCCAGCGCCGTCCACCAGGACTGGCCTCCTTACGCTGAACAGGTCACACAGCAAAAGGTCCTGCTAGTCCACTTCTCTTTTTGTGTGAAGTTTTCTGTTTTGTTATAAACACCATAGCAAATTTAAAAAGCTGTTTGAACAGAGAAAATATCTTAGTTCTCGATTTCCTGTGAGTGCTTGGGGTCAGGGCCCCAAGCCCCTTCACCCGCCTGCACCGGCTGCATGTCCCTTGGAGGGAGGGTGCATCCGCCGGCTGGCGGGCCAGTGGCAGTGTCTGTCTGTCCTGCTGGCGGGTGCAGCGGCAGGCCCTCCGGAGCAGTGTGGCGGGCGCAGCGGGCCCTCGGGAGCAGTGTGGTGGGCACGGGCACGGCGGGCCCTCACTGGATCTGGATGGCGCCGTGCTCCAGCTGCATGTCCGGCTGCAGACCCTCGGCCGTCTACGGGGAGAGCAGGTCTGAAGATACACACGGCGCCCACCATGGTCCCAGAGGAAGGCGCCCTGCAGGGCCCTGGGCCTGTGGCCCGTCCACAGGCAGGAGAGGACCCACCTGTGTGGCGGCTGTGTGGTCGGTCACTGGAGCCAGCTGCACATACTGGACCTGGATATCACTGCCCTGCAGAGACGAGCCGTCGACGCCAGCCGCAGCGGGGTCCGAGGAGGCCACGGCAATCAGCTGGGCACCCTGCAGCACCTGGTGGACAGAGTGAGGCCATCAGCCAGCCCGCGGGGAGGGGTGCCAGCAAGTACATGCCTGGGGGTGCGGGCGGAGGGCTATGCCATGTGCCTGCCACCAAAGGATGGGCTTGGGCACCACTTGGGATCCTCTTCAGATGGGCTGCAGCCATGCGTGTGTGTGTGTTCTTAAGTGCTTATGAGTGTGTCTGCATGTGTGTGTTCATGTGGACATGCATACACGTGCCTGTGCTTGTGGACATTTGCACGTGTGGACATATGCACACGTGAGCGTGTATGCACATATGTGGAAGCACACTTGTGGATGTGAGCATGCCCACACGTGGGTACATCTGCATGTGTGCATGGGCATACCAAGCGTACACATGGTCATACATGTGTGTGCATGCACACAGCCTTGTTTGTGTGCCTGCACTTGTGGACCTCTGCACACTTCCACAGGTGCTCACGGTTGTTAGTGCATGTGTGTGCTAGCATGTGCGCAGGTGGAAGTGTGTACACGTGCCTGTGTGGACATATGTATACAGGTGTGCGCGTGGCTGCATGTGTGTGCACAGTGCTGTCGGCCCATGAGGATGTGACAAGAGGGTGAAGATCAACCACACTTGGTGGCTCGCTGTGGCCGGGTCATTGGGAAGATGTGCGGGAGCAGGTGGGGGCAGACAGGCCAGGAGTAGGTGGGGTTACCCTGGATTGAGGGGAAGACACCATGAGGCCCTGGCAGAGCGGAGGGCCAGGCTGCAGACACAAAGGCCTGGAGAGCTAGGAGCGGACAAGCAAACATGCAGGGTGTGGTTGCAGGAGGGCTGCAGGCCAGGCAGCGCCCAGGGAATCCGAGGAGGAAGCAGAGCCCGAGAATTCCCAGATGGAGCCCTGGGTCTCTGCGTGCACGGAGCTGACGAGAGCGTCGAGGCAAGGGGAACATGTGAGCTCCACCACGTGACCCTGGTTGCTACAGCACCGCAGCAAGTCGCCCCCATGAGCACCGCACACCGCTGCGTGAACACTACCTAGAGCACTGCCACGTGGGCAAGCCTGCAGCACAGCGCACATGCGGTGCGGCCACACGAGCAAGTCTACAGCACAGCACACGTGCAGTACAGCCACGCAAACAAGCCTACAGCACAGCACA